TCAGCAATACTCTTCAAATTACTTGTCTGATGCCTCTAAGAAAATTGGTCAGATTATTTCTTTCCTCATTCGTTTAGCAAGCATCTACTATATATGCAGCCTGTGTTAGGCAGTGTCAGGAAAGCCAAGATGAAATGAGCCATCCTGTTTTCAGAAGCCCAAGGGGATCCCACCAAGCTGCATGATTTTCAGTGAACACCTGTACAGAGTTTCTTCTCTGTAGAAGCAAGTAACAGTTTCTATTAAATCACAAAGGTTATTTTTCATTCATCTCACCAGCTGTATAGCAGCTCTCATGATACACTGTAATGTCATGGAAAATTTCCTGTGGATTGGATTGTCCTGTCCCCTCCCTTCTTAAAGCAGAAAGAGGAGGGTGGTGGAGGTACTAGGACATCTGGTATATGTGCCTGTGGAAAACAAGATTGAATACTTGATACTTTATGTTCCTTTCATTTCTGTATTTACCACCACGACACGGAGCATTAGTCATTTCCACAAATCTCCAGATCATAGGATATTTTACAAATTTATGATTTTATGAAGCCAATTTTATAGTCTTACCTATCAAATTCATTTACCCATTCATGCATTCATTTATTCAACAAATATGCCTGAAGTTACTATTGCATTCTGAGCAGTGTCCTACTCTCAAAGAACCTGTAGTCTTGAGGGAAAGCAGATATGCAAAATGTATCCAAAATCTGAGCATTTCTTAACAACTTCAGGGCAACCACTCTGATCCAAGCCACTATTGCCTGTCATCTGGACTTTCCTAGTAGCCTCCAACTGAGTGTCCCTGTTGCATTTTTTTGGTCTCCTATAACTTATTTTCCATGCAGCACCTGAGCAAGTCTTTTAAAATGAAGTCAGTCCATTTCATTCCTCTCAGCAACCTCCAACAGATCCCCATACTGCTCATGGTTCAAAATCTTTACAATGGACACATAATGAGTATTAAACAAAATAGTGAATATAGGAAGAAGCCAAAGGTTGAACCCTGGAGAGCACCGATGTTGAAGAGAAAATTAATAAGAAAGAACAGGGGTCATAAAAGAAGGGCCAAGGAAGCAAGAGGAGAGCCCTCGAAACCGAAGAGGGGGAAAAGGTCCGAGTGAGGGACAGCCAACAGTGTCTGCTACAAAGAGGTTGAGCAAAGCCCCAACTGAAAGAACCCACTAGATTTTGTACTCAGAAGGTGGTTGGTGATCTTAGCAAGAACAGCTTGAGCTTGGAGCAAGGCTTGGGGTGGGACGGCTGATGATGGCAGAAGATGAGTCAAGTCATAGCAGGGTGAATAGTAGGTGTGGAAGTGGCCAGAGCCACTAAAGCCCTTTTTCTGAGAAATTTGATAGTGAAAAATAAAATGTGGTATGATAACTAGATGGGGATGGGAATGACAGACAGAGGTAAGATTTTTTTCCCCTTTTCTTTTTCTAAGATAGGGTATATGAGAAAAACATGAGAATGCCTATAGGGTCAGGAGAAAAGCCAAGAGAGGGGCTTATGGAGCCTCGCCACAGAAGTGGTAGAAATGACAAGCTCAGAGCACAGAGGAGCAGATGGGCCTCAGGTGGGGACAGGATAGCAGCTCTTCTGAGGACTGGAAGAAAGGAATTTAGATACCATTGATTATCACAGCACAGAGAAAGGAAGTCGAGGCTGTCTGTCCCTGGGATCCTCAATCCTCCCTGTTAAAGGTAGCATCAGATTCCAAGGGCCGGCGGGCGGATAGATGGAAGATTGGAAAGCATGATGAAGTTGGGAAATTACATAGTAGTAAGAGAGAGAGAGATGATGAGAGATCAGGGTGGATCTGTTAAACTGTGATACATTCATACAGATTATCATACATTTGTTCCAAATTTGCATGCTTAAATTATGCAAAATACATGTTTTTAAAATATACAAAATCTCTCCAGAATGTGTTTAGTCTCACATTCAGCCAGAATGTGTTCCCCTCTGCCACCCACTGGATGATTTATTACTCTTGTAAGAAAATGAGTCCTCAGAATTGAAAGCCTACAAGATTTACCAGAAGTGCTGGTTGAAATCACAGATTTTGGATCCTTGCCCCTAGGAATTCAGGTTTAAAGGAACACCACAGATAATTCAGATGCAAATGATCTGAGCACCCATAATAAGATGTGTTGCCTTGAGTGGCCTTGAGCAGCTCTGGAGTTTGTCAAAATAATCCAGTGTGAGGGCTTTTCAGGACTTGGCTTCATCTGTTAAGATGAAGAAAGATCTGAGAATCTTCCTTACTCTTTCTTCTTCTTCATATATAACTTTCACCCCTTCATGTTCTAACATCATTTCCTTGTCCATTTATATCATTTCTCATACTTCCAAAGACTAGCTTAGATTTCCTATTTTCCTTCCTAGTCGATTTAAGAATAAGGCTCTCTGTTCTATCCTTTGACTCCTCCCCACTCACACACACTTAGCAAGTTTGTGCAAAATATTAATTTAGTATCTAATTATTAAACCTATAGAATCTTAGATTTATCATTCTCCTGAATTAATTATATACTGCTCCTTAAAGGAGGGAATTCAAAAAAAGAAGAAGAAGGGGAAGGAGGAAGAGGAGAAGAGAGAAAGGAAAGACCTGAGAGACTTCAAAAAAAGTGTTTAAAATATTTTTGTGCGTTAAAATTGTGTTTGATAGAGGGAAGAAAGGTTAGGATGAAAAGGGAGAAGGGATCAATCCAGAGAAAAGTGGAAAACCTTAGTGTGGAAGAATGATATAGGTAAGATATCTGAATATTTGTATAATTTCCAGTCTCTGGAGTTATCATTAAGTAAAGTTACATTGTATTTGTATTCTCAAGTTTTCTGTCAGGAAAAAAATTACTAAGGGCCAGGCATGGTGGCGCATACTTGTAATCCCAGAGCTTGGAAGGCTGAGGCAGGAGGATCATGAGTTCAAAGCCAGCCTCAGCAACAGGGAGGTACTAAGCAATTCAGTAAGACTCTGTCTCAAAATAAAATATAAAATATGGCTGGGGATGTTGTTCAATGGTCAAGTGCCCCTAAGTTCAATCCCCAGTACCCCCAACAACAACAACAACAACAACAACAAAAAATACACACACACACATTTATATATATGTATATTGCTAAGTACACGCTATTTTCAATGCTGTAAATGGAGATACTACTCTTTCTTCATTAGTTCATTTTCTAAAAGAACAAGTGTTTGTGTGTGTGTGTTGCATGTGTGTATAACATTTGTAAAAAGAATAAATTAACATAATCAAATGTTTATGCCAATACCATTCAATCTTTATGGAGTACCTACTAATTGCTCATTCAAATATATTTATTAAATACCTCTTATGAACTGGCCACTAGAACCCAAAGGATGTCAAAGAAAGAAAGTTACTAAACTTATTCCTCAAATTCCAGTCTAGATGGGGAGACAGAGACATGAATGAATTATAATATATGGTTGAACATAATAGTTGCTTTAAACACATGAGTTTTTGCAACGTGTGCAGTACCTATAATGGCAGGTAGAAATGGGTGAAAACTATTCCACTTTATGATGGTTGATTCAATTCTGACCACAAAGTTATACACAACTATGGGTTATTATCATATAACTATGATGTTGTGGACATAATTGCTTATTCCAGAATGATGTTATTTTCTATAAATTTGCATCAGATATTTGTATCAGACATATGGAAAATAAAGATCTCTACTTCTATACCAGAAATGTATTTATTAGAATGTTCACAGAATCATTTACAATACAAAAACTCAGAACAAAAAAATAGAGGCATATCAACCATAGTATGAATTTTTTTTTAACTTTGGTATACTATGCTATGCTATCAAGGTGAAATTATTGAATTCAAGCCACATGAAACATTATTATATCACAGGAATACTATGTTGAGTAAAAAAAAATCTAAATGTAGAAAACATTCATTTTATTTCTTCTACAAAAAATTCAAAAACATGAAAAATCACCGGATGGTGAACTACAAAGGACTATAGGAGAATGATGAAAATTCAATGTAATGATTCCTCTGAGAGCAGGTTAGAGGGGAGACTTAGGGTGAGATGCATGGGATTTCAGAGGATGGCAGTATTCCTTTAGTTAAGCTGAATGGGAGGAGTATAAGACATTTGCTGAATCATTTTTTATAACTCACATTCAGTGAAATCAATTTAAAATAGAAAATTATATATGTGGAGGCCTTCAAAGAAGATACAGCATTCTCCTTATTTTCATATTCACCTTGCTTCTAAACTAGAATGAATAAAAATCAGGTTTTAGATCTGCTTTCACCAGTGAATGCTACTCACTGCCTGTTGTAATAAACACAATCTTATCACAATGTCAATAGACCACTCCCACAGAGGCCAGTGCTCATGCCCCTGGTACTTACACTTTATGCCCAGCTTGTCTTGTACTTACTTGGGAGTCTGCGTCGATGTGGGAATGCTTAATTAAATCGAAGTGCTAGAATTGTTTTTAAAAGGCATCTAACACCTCTCTTTTCTATATCTTGTGGCCACCAACAAGGTATTGAGTGTTTATTATGTTCAAGCCTTGAGAATGCACTAACTGTGAAGAAATATCATCTCTATCACCCAGACAGACGGAGAGAAAATTTTTAAAGGAGATCAGATTTTAATTGAGCCTTGAAAAAATGAACCAAATCTGGGGGGTGGGGAGAAGAGGTGAGGACAGGGGTGAGACCTCTATTGAGGACTACATAAAATGTCTAGGCAAGAGTCAGCAAATTGCTTAACTCATCCCAAGAGGAAGGGGAAGGAGGCCTGCTGGGGACTGAGGTCTGAGGGGACATGTGTACTGATAGGATTTTCCACTTTACCCCACAAGCTACAGGGAACCCACTGAGTTGTTAAAGAAGGGCAGTTATGATCAGACTTGTGCTCAAGAATGGGCCCTGACTTCAATGTGAAATATAGACTGAAGGGGAATCAGACCATGTTAAGGTATGGAGACTAGTCCAAAGGCGGCAATGGTCATCCAAGAAGGGAATAATGTTGCAGCTACTAAGGCATTGCCTGTGGGCCTAGGAAAAATGTTTGGGGGTCGGGAGCGGGGAGGGTAACACAGTTATTAAGAAGGAAGGATTTATGAAGTTTAATTATTGAATGGATTAATGGGCAGTGGGTAGACAAGGAGCAGAAGTCCTGAAAGATTCCTAGTTTTCTGATTAAAAAAAAAAAAAATAGAAAGATTCTAAACAGATTCAGTGTTTTTTCTATGACTTAAAAATTGAAATCACTGGTATTTTCTCAAATCTTCAAAGACAAAGAGAAAACTGTACTGTACACTTGTACTTTGAACTTGTTAAAATATTCTGTTCAAAAATCACATGTTGGAAAACCATCATTGTGAACAGTGGTGGTACTGGGAACGAAACTTCTGCAGGGGTTAAGTGGTTGTGAAAAAAATAGAGATGATTCATTGGTAGACATGATTGAAATATGATAAATGTGACCTAGTCACTCACCAGCTGCCACCAAGGTCATCCCGGTGCGATGCTGCTTCACCTACCACAAGATGGTGGACAACAAGTGTGAGGCCACCCTGGGGACGCTGCAGACCCAGTACACTAAGGGGGACGCCCTGGATGCTCTGAGCCTGAAGCTCTACTGCTGTCACCGTATGCTGCTGGCACAGATGGACCTGACTGAGAAGCTGCTCAACTATGTGCCGCTGGAGAAATAGCTGCTGGAGCTGCCTTCCTGTTCTGCTGACCATAGATGGTGTCACACCAAGGTCATGAACAGTGTCACACAGAGCTGAGGCATTATGTGGTTGGGAACAAGGCCTGGCTGCAGCCATGTGCCTCTCATACCAGAAGGAACTGTTCAGTAAAGGTCTTGAGAATTAAAAAAAAAAAAAAAAGCGAATGGTAGATTGATAAGTAGATAAATGATTGGCTGACATAAGATAGTCAATCTGAGAGAGAGAGATGATAGATAGGAAACCCATGTGGTACCGCCCCCCCAGCACTGATACTACTGATTCCTTCCACTGCTGACAATTCCCCCAGCTTCCCTGAGCAGATTCAATTTCAACTGTGATTTCATTAGCAAAATCAGATGGTCAATATGAAATTTAATGAACAGAGAAAAAATGTAATGTTGGCATTACTTTAATGAACATTTGTTAAGTACCCTTGATGCTGTGCTAGTTACTGGAGAAAGGTAAGTCATTCAAGGAGTGGGAGAAGTTAGCATCAGCACAGGATGAGACAGAGTGGAGGAAGGATAAAGGGCTCTTGGAGTGGAGAATCTCGGCAGATCAACAGTAAAGAATTTACTGTTCTCTGATTATTACAAATAGTAATTCCTTAATAGTTAGCATGTTTTGAAATGCCCACTATGAGCCAAACTCCGTGAATGTGATTTATGTACACAATCTCCAGAAAGAACGGGACACTAAAAATTACTTTTAATAGATTCTCTTTTCCCACCAAATGACCTTAACTACCCCAACACTGCTCTAATTAATTACATGGTGATTTATTTGGAGCTCATACATTTCTGTTTGACTAAGCAAGAGTACTTTTCCAGTTCTCAAATTTCTCCCCTTGGCTATGATTATCCAAAGCACATAATTATGTTACTGAGAAAAAAAGAAATAAAAGATAACCTTTTAAAAGGTACACATTTAAATTAGGCTAATTGCAGCACCTAATTTATATTGCTTCCATTAATGATGGCTTTACCTCTTACTGAACAAGATTTTAAGAAAACATTAACAGATTGCAAACCCTGCCCATACCTTTGTGCTCTAGTTAACAGCCCAGCTGAACATTAACCACATCCTAGTGGTTTTACATAGGACAGAGCCCAGGGCCGCTTGGAGCAGAATTTTCCATCAATGTGTCCTCCATGCATCATCCTATTGGTCCTTTCAGATGCCTAGTGTGAAGGCAAAACTGGATGAATTTCTCAAGGGCACAACCTTGAGAAATTGGCTTCGCCAATGCTGTGTGCTACATGGCTTGTGGAGAGACATAATGTGGATGTTACAGGTTTGTATGGAGGTGGATCTGGACTGAAAGACATTTTCTATCTCAAATTGTCTTAGTTCTTATGATGACAGATGTCTATGAGAACAACTATGAGAAGATTTCCTGTTTTACACTTTATACATATTTTTAATCAACTCACAGAAGCAAGTTTTTATGAACTGCAAATCTATCTAACCCTAGGACTGTACTCCAGCTACTATGTACAGAAGTTGTTTTTACAACATCCATCATTTTCCCAACTAAACTGCAAGTTCCTTCAAGACAGGAAATATGCCTCATATTTATTCTGCAACTCCCAATGTGCTGCACATGAGATATGGACAAAATATCTCAACATTGGGCTCTGCAACTTACCATCTGAGTATCTTAGGCAAAACCCCTTCTCTAAGCTTAAATTTTTCCATGTGTAAAGGGGAAAGTATCTTTTGAGGGCTAAAAGAGATCGTAATGCTCTATACACCACATTAGTGAACAAATATCATCTAAACTGTGTTGATAGTTTGTGTTTCACCAAGTGCTGTACTCAAATAAGTTTGTATAATCCTTCTGCTGCTGATGATTAAAAGTTATCATTGATGATGAGTCTTCATGTCTTATGACAAACCTCTCAGAGTAGGAAATTCTGAAAGGGGAAAAATGTGTTTTACATGATTCTCCTGTGTCGCCATCATCTTGTATGTTTTGATAATGATCACAGTGACATTACCAAATATCCCCAGAGATTATAATGCTATGGAAATCTATGATGTTGACCAAAAAAAGTCAAGATATTCTCATTAAAGATGTCTATTACAATTAGAAAGAAAAAGTGCAGGAACTATTTATGTTCACAAAGTGATGAAAATGCATATAAGAATGAAAACATTAAGGAATTAATGTTTCTAAAGTGACAATCATCTATAAAACAAATTTTTGTTTATAAAATTGTATCCCTGGACTAAAATAGAACTGTATTTCAGTGCCTTTGTAACATTCATTTGCTTTCTATTAATTTCTTTTCTTTTATATATATACATTAAATTATTATTTTCTTTATTTTTGCTCCAAATACTATTTGAACTTGCATTTTTAACATATGAATAAACACATGCATTTACATCTCTTATATTACCAAACTAATGCATGCAAAAATGTTCTATCCCAACATATATTTTAAGTGTTTTCTGCAAGTCTATGTTTACTAGAACTCTTACCATGAAAAATATATAAAAATTAAAGGTGTAGCTTATTGTGTAACCTTTTAAAATATGTGTTTGTATTTGGTAGTATAGTGTCTTTAATGTTTGCACTTTTTTCTGTAAGTGTAGGTTATTTTTATATCATGGTTTATATCTATTGGGGCTGCCAGATACATTTTTGTTTCACTTAATTCGTATGTATTAGCTTTCTTTTTAGGAAATTTAGTTTGATGCATGAATTCTGGGTAAAGGAAGCTATCTCTGAAAAGTCTATGTTAGCAGTTTCTGTTGAAACATTTTCATAGGATTTCTCAAGGAAATATTTTCATGAAAGCAATGAAATCAAATATGATGATAATGAAGATAATTACTTCAAGGTAATTAGACATAAAGCTTATTTTAAAAGTTGCATTTTAACTTGATGGTATGGTCTTCCTCTCTTTTGAGTATGTTTTATACATAATAGTGGGATTCATTGTTACATATTTGTATACGCACACTGGTTTTTCTCTTTTAACAATAACTTAGAATTTATCAATACAACCTTTCATGAATCATGTAGTTAGTTATGGTAAAAAGGAATTTAATTAATTTCTGAGGTAAATTCCAGAAGAGGATCATTGGTATATTTAATTAACAAATAGTAACATGCACACAATTGTTTCTTTTCAAAATGAGCTCTGAATACTTATTATTGCTCAATATGAAATTCCTGCCAAGTGCAATCATAGGGAAATACTCAAAATGAAAAATGAGCATAAGGAAATATCAGCAGCACCTTGGAGAGAATTCAATGGAAATAATAACAATAAATTAGTCACACTTTCACATGATCCTTAGAGCTACCTAGCTGAAATTTTTTTTAAATGCACATTGCATTTTTGCAATAAAAAGTAAATCTGCATTTATACATTCAATAAAAAAGCTCAAACAATGAAGAGTAAACATAATCTTAAAATCGCCCTAATATCTAAAAGACACTGACGATGATTAGATTAATTTAGACTTATTTTGAGAAATAAAGATATCAAAAGTCATCTGAGTCCCTCTAAAATGGTGAAGAAAATTAACTCCTCTTGGACTATTATATCCAGCAAAATTTCCTAAAAATCATAAACAATATAAAGGTTAATATAAAGGTTTGTTTTTTATACAAACATTGAGAAAAGAGTCAATGTTTAAATCCTCATTAAAAGAAAAACTATTAATGAGAGAACACGAGCTTAAATTTTAAAAAGAAGAGCACAGAAATAATATATAAAGTATTCAAGACCACAATGTGCACAACTCACTATGAAAAATTAGGTAAGGTCCTAGAAACTCACTCATTCATAGGGAGAATATAGAAAAGTGAAATTACAAACATATTCCTAACAAGGTTGGAGGTGTCCTCACTGCCTGGATAAAGAATGTTGAAGTCTACGTGGTCATGGAAGGAGGAAAGAAATATCTGCATTTTATATCTGCCCGTCTATGATTTATGTTAAACAGGTTCTTCATTCAAAGAACAATAAAACAGTTTCCAGATTTGAGCTGTTTCTTTACTTTAGGTGCCTAAGCATTTCTTTTTGTTTGTTTGTTTGTCTCAATTGTAGCCATGACCATAAATTTGTCCTTTCTTTTTACTATTTTTGTAAATTAAGTTCATCTCTACTAGGACATAAAAACATAAAAATTGCCCATACCCATGGGGTATCATGTGATGTTTTGGTGTATGCATACACTGTGTAATATTCAAATCCAGTTAAACATCTGTCTCTTCAATCACCATTTTTTTTATAATGAAAACATTCAAAATCTTTTCTTCTGCCTTTTGAAACATACGGTACATTATCGTTCACTATGGTCACCCTGCTGTGCAATAACGCACCAGAACTTCTTTCTCCTATCTAACTATAACTTGGTTCTTATGACCTTGCTGCTTCTGTCCTCCCCTCTGCTCTCCCCAGCTCTGGTAATCACCACCCTACTCTCAACTTTCCTTGACAAAATAGCCAATATTTTGTTGTCAGTTAGTGTCACGGTTTGGGGATCTGGAATATCCCTCATAAGCCCCAATGCAGCAGTGTTCAGAAGTGGGGCCTTGACAGATGATTGGATTTTGATGGGGCAAACGTCATTAGTGGATGATTCTATTGATGAATTCATAATTTAGTTAGGTGCTAGAGCCTAGTTGGAGGAAGTGGGTCACTGGGGGCAAAGTAAAGGGTTAATTTTGTCCCCAGCTCCCTTCTCTGTTACTTTCTCTGCTTTTGGGCCACAGTAAGGTGAGTCCACCATGACATTCTGGTCTGATCACAGGCCCAGAAACAATAAAGACAAGTGTCCATGGACTGAAACCATAAGCCAAAATAAATCTTTCCTCCTTTAAGTTGATTTTCTCTATTTTATCACAGTGATGGAAAGCTAACAGTTTGTTTTTTTACTCATGTTACATTTTCCTTACGCAAATAATTTTGAACAGTCATTGTTATTTTCAGTGAACCCATAATCAATGTCATTATGATAGACTGATAATGGCCACAGTGAGCTTATCACCTGCTTTATTACCCAGCACTGTGGAGATCAGTCTTTTGCATT